TGAGTATAACTATCATGATATCACAAGTTCATAATAAAATAAAAAATATTTAATGAAAAATATATTTATTTTTTAGCTTTTTACAAGTTTAGTGTCGTGTTCGGGTTAGGCGGGTCCAATCTGAAATTGACATGTATTTTTCGTGTCAATTTCAGGTCGACCCAATTCTGACCCGAACATCTTTTTTCTCAACCTTAACCCGTAAAATTCGTGTTGTTTTCGAGTCGTGTTGTTGTGTCATGACTCGTATTACCAGTCCTAACAATAAATACAACTACAATTATCATCCCTTAAAAAAAAAAGAAATCACTGATGAATCTTTGATGAAAAACGCCAACCAGTCCTAACAATAAATACAACTACAATTATCATCCCTTAAAAAAAAAAAGAAATCACTGATGAATCTTTGATGAAAAACGCTAATTTATTTGATGAGAATTTATCTCGAGTCTAATAAGAGCAATACTATAAAAAAATGAATGATAATAAGCATCACTATCTATTAAAAAGTAAGTAGAACAATGTGAAACTCACAAATAAAACTCAATTTCTATTAAATAATAATGCTAACATGTTATTAAGCATTTTTCGACCATTAGCATTGCTCATCTTTGATACAATGGCAAGCATCGAGGAAAAGAAAATCTAGAGTAAATTGCCATACATGATCTCTGTCAGAACTACAATAACTAGTACAAATTCGATTGGCCCAAATCTCAATGAAGAATTCAGAGTCAAAACAAAAGTCAACTAATCATTTAAATCAAACAGCTAGCAAGATGGACCTCTCTGTTCTTTCCATGAACCTGACCACACTGTATCATCCCCAATTCTTTTCTGTCCTTTTTTTAACAGTCTCTTCCCCACATATAATCAGTCAATGTCATAAAAACTATAAAATAATGCCACCTGCTTACTTTTTTTTGTTTTTGATAACTAATGCCACCTGCTTACTTTACCCACATTCCATTTATATATGAAGAAAGAATACAACTTTGGCTTTGATGGGTTTTTCCACAGTAACACCCACTCTGCTCCCTCCAGCGCAGGATTGTAATCACTTCCAACTTTTTTGAACCCAACAATTTTTCTTTTTAAAAAAAAAAAATGTTTTTTGGGCTTCATTTTTTTGACTTCAAAATTTACTATATGGGATTTTGCGTCTGTCTCTTCTTCTCTTCACTCTTGACAATGAGGCTCCTCTAGCAGAAAACCCATAAATCGTATTCTCTTCCATTCCTGATCATCAGTGAGTTTTCCTCTCCTTACTTGTTGTTTTCTTGGATATTTCTTAAGATTTTTTTTTTTAAATTAAACTAGAAAAGATGAAAACTTGATTATGTTTTGTATGTGAAAATTTTACTTCTTTGCTTTCTGGGTTTTTTCTTGTTCTTATTGCTATGTAGCGAGGAGCTTTTTTCTTTTGCATGATTTTGCTTCAATGAATTTCCTAATGGGTGTGTAAAAAAACTCTTTCCCGGGACACCCATTTCAGTAATTGTCATGAAACCAAGGAAGAAGCTTGAAGATTTGATAACAAGTTCTTACACTTATTTCTGTTGTTTGTGAAAAGATTGTTAAATAGTATGGGTTATAGAGTAGAAGTTATAGCACCAACCTCATAGTCTGATCTCCGTGAGCTTCTTTCTGTGTTTGGTTGTTGAGAAATTAGAGAAAATACAAAAGAAATGTTAAAAGTTTTGTTATTTACTAGACAGGTTTTTTTTTTTTTTAAAGTTTATCATGAATTTGTTAAAATCATCTGAGACGACATATTTTCCTTATTTTTTGGCCCTTGGAAACTGAACAAAGTTTTGATTTTTTTGGTTCTCTAGTTGTGGGATTTGTCAAAAGCCGTCACTTTGGAACTTTAAAGTGCGGCATTACGTTTTGATTTGTAGTGGAAAACATCATAATTATGTCCATTTTAAGTGTACTAATTCTGTTGTTACTTTAGGGGGATTTTGCATGATCGACAGTGTTTTTGGTTTCACGTTTTTAAAGGTCCAAGTTCTTCTCTCTCTAATTTCAATGCCCGTTGTTTACTTTTTACTCACTGTTTGTTTGGGATTGCGGGTCCATAATTTATCGATTTGTCACTGTCTAGAATTTTAATTCTTCTGTGCTGCCAAAAAAGCATAAGAATATCATGTTCTTATTGCCATTACTTAGAACTTATCTTTGATAAAGCACTGTTTATAGCATGGTAATGGAAAAACTTGTTTTTGCTAACTATTTAGTTCTTTAGCTACTTAATGGCTAAAGATATGGTCATATGAGATAAGTTCTTCATCATTCTGTTAGGTCCGCTTATGAAACTTTTTCACTTCATATGTCTTGATTTAGGCAGATTAAAAGATGGAGCGGGCTAGATTTAATACAAGGAATCGATGTTCTGGTTCGACCCCATCGGAGGAATCAGCATTGGACCTCGAGAGGAACTGTTGCAACAACTCTAATTTTCCTTCTTTAAGTCCGCCAACACTTCAGCCCTTTGCGTCGGGTGGACAGCATTGCGAGAGCAATGCTGCTTACTTCTCATGGCCAACCCGATTCAACAATGATGCAGAAGAGAGGGCGAACTATTTCGCGAATCTACAGAAGGGGGTCCTGCCCGAAACTCTTGGACGGTTGCCAAAAGGTCAGCAAGCGACCTCATTGCTTGAACTCATGACTATAAGGGCATTTCATAGCAAGATCTTGCGCTGTTACAGCCTGGGAACAGCAATCGGGTTTCGCATTCGTCGGGGCGTGTTGACAGACATCCCGGCTATTCTTGTCTTTGTTTCGAGAAAAGTGCACAAGCAATGGCTCAGCCCCATTCAGTGTCTTCCAACTGCCCTAGAGGTTAGGCAAAGAAATGTATTGAAGTATTGGAACTTATTTGATGTTATCCATCTTAGCACACGTAAAAAAATTGGAACTTCTGGTTTTAATCAGGGTCCGGGAGGTGTGTGGTGTGATGTGGATGTTGTAGAGTTTTCATATTTTGGTGCCCCTGAGCCTGCTCCCAAAGAACAGTTATACACAGAGATTGTAGATGACTTGCGTGGTGGTGATCCATGTATTGGCTCAGGTTCTCAGGTTTTATTTAGTCCCCTTTGAACCTACTTTCTTTTTTTGTTGGTCATATCTTAAAGGTACCATAATTTTCACTGTGTTCTAATGATATCATAGAGCATCTCTAACGCAGTGGGCAAGTGCCAATTTTAATATTTGAGTAGGAAAATCACTCTTCAATGTAGTGCTATTTCGATGCTAAATTTAGCATATGCTATACTTGGTGTCATTGGCACCAAGTATAGCATATGCCAAGTTTTGGCATATGATTGTTATCACCTTTTTCATTTTATCATTAAAAATTGTCATTTTCTAACAATTTCAATACTAAAAGTTTATTTTTACTAGTTCCAAAGTTTAATAGTTAAGACCAAATATATGTATTAGCATTTGAAATAGCATTATATATTGGAGCACAAAATAGAATTGCACATCAGATATGCTTTTCACGCTTTCAGTGGCAAATTTGCATTGAGATGGACTTAGTAGGTTTTAGTTCGGTGTTGAACTTGAGTATATCATCCATTAGAGATTCATGCTAGTGTTACAAACTAAATATCATACTATCTTTGTTAGGTGGCGAGCCAGGAGACATACGGAACTTTGGGGGCCATTGTGAGAAGCCAAACAGGCAATCGACAAGTTGGTTTTCTCACAAATCGGCATGTCGCGGTTGACTTAGATTACCCAAACCAGAAGATGTTTCACCCTCTGCCTCCAACACTCGGACCTGGAGTGTATCTTGGCGCAGTTGAGAGAGCTACCTCCTTTATCACTGATGAGCTTTGGTATGGCATCTTCGCTGGAATAAACCCAGGTATGACACGAGCTTATGAATTGCTGTTAGTTTCAAATTCATTGCAGGCTTAATTTACTTTATGTCAGTTTTCAAGAGTGTTCATGGTTCATTCTACATTAGCTCTTTGTTAAGGACACTGGATGAACTGACTAAAAAAGAAACTATACATTTATTCCAGGAAATGGGACTTAGTCTCTTCTTTTTTTTTTTTTTTTTTTTTTTTTTTTTTTCTTTTTTTGGCTTGGAAAATTCAATTTAACCTTGAAAACCTAACACTTTGCACCACATCAAACAATAAATACTTCAAACAATAGAGCAACTAAGTGACTGTCTGAGGCTGAGGCATCAGCCAATGGTCCTCAGCCAATGGTGCCAAGAAAAACGAAAGACCAAATCCACTTTGCAATTTGGTATATATATTTTTTTTTTCATCGGTCTTCAATCTTCTATTAGCAATAAGTAAGAAATTACATTTTACATCCCATTAGTCTCACCATTTAAGTTTTACCCCCACTCAAGCCAAAAAACTCTGCCCTTTTTTCTTGTCTAGAGATGCCTTAAGAGAATTAGATATTTTTTCTCACTTTTTCCTTATTCTTACTCTTCTTTCCTTTCCCTTTGATTTGCCAGCTCCTTTACCACGTATTTTCATGTTTGATGGTTTCTTCTGACCAAAAAGTTCGCGGTGGAATGTCAATTATCTCAATATCCTTATGATTTCTTGAATTTCTCCCTTGTGCAGAGACATTTGTGAGGGCAGATGGTGCGTTCATTCCTTTTGCCGATGATTTCGACATGTCGACTGTTACTACATCCGTAAGAGGTGTGGGAGAGATAGGTCTTGTCAAAATAATAGACCTGCAATCTCCAATCAGTAGCCTCATTGGGAAGCATGTGATGAAGGTTGGAAGAAGTTCTGGATTGACTACCGGAACCGTCTTAGCCTACGCCCTCGAGTACAACGACGAAAAAGGCATCTGCTTCCTAACTGATTTTCTTGTTGTGGGTGAGAACCAGCAGACATTTGATCTTGAAGGAGATAGTGGGAGTCTCATAATACTAAAAGGTGAGAATGGTGAGAAGCCAAGGCCAATTGGGATCATATGGGGTGGAACTGCTAACCGAGGGCGGCTCAAATTGAAAATCGGCCAACCTCCAGAGAATTGGACAAGTGGAGTTGACCTCGGCCGGCTTCTAAATCTACTCGAGCTCGACCTCATCACAACCGATGAAGGGCTTAAAGGTTTTTGCTGTGCTAGAATGTCGTTTTTGCTGGTTTCCGATTTCCTTACATGATGTCATTCTTTGTTGACATCTTATGCAGTGGCAGTGCAAGAGCAGAGGGCTGCCTCAGCAACAGCAATCGGATCTACGGTTGGTGATTCCTCGACCCCGGATGGAATCCTTCCAAAAGAGAAAGCTGAGGAGAAGTTTGAGTCATTGGGTCTCCAAATCCAGCACATTCCTTTAGAAGTCGAACCTAGCAGCCCTGCTAGGAATCCATTCCTTGCGGAAACAAAGTTTAACCTGGAAGAAGATGCGCCCGAGGCACTCCCCAATGTCGAACATCAGTTCATTCCGAGCTTCATCAGGCGTTCCCCGCTGCATCAGAACAGCCTGAAGGAAAGAGCAGCTTCTGAGAATCTTTCTTCGTTAAGAAATGGCTGCGGCGAAGATATCTTCGTGTCGTTGCATCTGGGGGACAATGAGGCTAAGAGGAGGCGTTCAGATGCTTCCACTAGCACTGAAGAACAACCAAAATGAGTTTTGCATATTTGTGGTTTGAGCTTGGGGGAACTAACCCCATTTTGTGTGTTTGGTTTTTTTTTTTTTTTTTTTTTTTTTGAGGAAACACATGGATGCTGATCATGCTGATACTATGTAGTAACTTTTTAACCATCGGGGTTGAACCATGTTGTAAGTGAAATTTTGGCTCAAAACAAAGAGCCCTCTAGTGGACTACAGAGAAAATCTAAGCTCACTGTATTGTGTTTTGCCTAACTTCAATGAACTCCAGTGACTAAACCTTTTTTTTTTTTTTGGTAGAATTCAGTGACATTCTTTCCAAAACACTAGTTTGCTTCTTTGAGCCAAGCCAAAGTGCAACATTATTCCGGGAAGGTAACTATCACTTTAACGGATCATTTATTGTTATGCTGGTTTTTCTTCATTTCTTTTCTTGTCTTTTTCCACATTGTTATCGTTTTCCCTCTAGTGTCGTTTTTAGATTATTCGTTTTCCTTTTTTCCTTGTTGTGGTCGATGTTATTTTGGTTTGATTGTATATCATTTTGGAACTAATATCGTTTTAAGGTTGTCGTTTTCGAGGTTCACTTTTCGATTGATGTCGTTTTTGAGGTATTGTTGTTTAATGTTTTGTGTTGTTTTTCAATGATGTCATTTTATAGTTTATTGTTATTTTATTATTTGTGTATGTGTCGTTTCCAAATGCATGCCGTTTGCAAGCTGGTTGTCGTTTTTGACGTCATTGTCAATTATGGTAATGTCGTTTTATTCTGTTGTCGGTTCTGATAATCTTGAGATTCTTGACGCTCACGAATTAAAACTCATTCATAGGGCTTGTTGACAGTGGAATTTCGTCAACAAGATTGCGCCGGATTACCACTCAGTGGTCAGTTGAGTTACCGGCTAAAACTAGTTATATTCTTAGATTTATGCAACTGATTGTGTTTGTTTTCAAGGTATTTTGAAGATATATCAATTTGTCGTTAAAACAAAAGAAAAGAACACACGAGGTTATAGTGGTTCACTCTATCACGAAAGAGCTACATCCACTTGTTACTGTATTTTCCTTCTTCAAAGCTTAAAAAAAAAAAAAAAAAAAAAAAAAAAAAAAAAAAAGGGCTTTCCCCTTTTATATCTTGTTGATTACATATGGATACATTTGGGGCGGACCGTGACCGGGAGGGTTCTATGATGGTTTCTCTCAAGTAACTTATTATCCTACTTGTCTAGATTGTAGCCTCTCAGCACCTTTTGAACTGTTCACTCACCCACTTTGTCCACCATTGTGGCTCTGTAGATCCTCTGTGATTTCTATTGGTCCGTTCTAGGTGGTTTATGACTGGCCTTCTCTAAACCTAGAAGTAACTTAGGGATTTCTCCCTTGTCACCTCAGAGGTCATCCTTGGGACGTGGACCCGAACTCATGCGTTCTGCCATCTGCGTCTATATCATATTTTACAGGGCACGGCCTCCGTTCCGGTTGACCCTCTCACGGTACCGCTGGTTTGTTGTGAACAAATCATGCAGGCCTCAACTGTATGTAGAGTCGACAGTTGCATGAATCGTCCTATACGCTCGGCCTTTTCACCAAATGACAAAGAGAGAAATGAGCTTTAAGCGTCGACCACTTCCCACACAACAGGGCACATCTCTCATCGTTCCAAATCGAAAGTAGTAGTTTCTCCATAGAAACATCCTCGTTCCTGATAAACATGGAACAAATAAGACAAACGAAACTAAGAAGTATTTTTACTTGAAATTAAATAGTTTTATACCAATATTGAAGAAATATATCATAATCTAACACGCACAAGCACTTAATAAACAGTAGGCGAGTTCTCTTGGACAAAAGAAAGTCATGATAAGCCGCTAGGAAAATTGAAAAGATTAAACGTTAACAACAAGCTAACAAAAAGGATTATTTAAAATAGTAGTAATCGATGAACATGAAAATTGGACTAAGGGACTAAATTGCATGAATTATATATAGGGTAATTAGTAATATTAGTCTTTCAATTATGCACATAATTTGATCTCTCAACTTTTTTCTTAGCGGATGACCTTTGAACTTTGATTTTTTTTCTTTTTTTTAAATATTCGGAGCTAGTCTTTGATACTAAAAAATTGACGAACGATCAAGAGATAATTACTCCTCAATCATAAGGAAACAGAATTTCTAACACAAATAGCTATTAGTTTTTCGTTTTTATTTTCTTAACGACAGCTAAAAAAAGAATATTTTAAATCACACGAACAATTATATATGATGGGCAATCAACGTTAACAAAGAAACGACAAAAATTAGAAAAACGACAACAATATCTTAAATAAACTTTGATTTGGAAAGACGATTACCTTTAAGAAATGACATCACATGGGAAACGACAATATTACGTAAAACGACATCGATATACGCTAAAAAAAATACCAACAGCACCTGAAACAACAATGATATACCAAACAACATCGATATGGGACATATGTCACAAAATAGTCTAAACCGATTAGTTTTTACATTATTGGAGGGAAGATATATATTGAAAAATCTTAAATATGGAAAAAAAAAGTCTAATTAATAACTTTTGCATTTTAAAAGTGAAAAAAGATTGATTTGAGTAATAGATTGAAAACATTAACGTTGCTATATTTTTAAGGCCTCTATAAAACGTTTTCCTAAGGCGTCCTTCTAATCTTGTTAAGCCGGCCATCAATCTTTAAGGAGACGTTTGGTTCATAGATTCAAAATTATGATTCAAAATTATTCTCATTTTACGTGTGTTTTTTGTGAAAGAAAAAACTGTAGCGAGTCACGAATCATGATTCAAATCATTGCACGAATCCCTCTTTCAGGCCTTGTGTACAGTGTCGTGTGTCCAAATATGTATTGTTTTGCTAAAAATCATTTATATAAAGCACTGTTTTTATGGCCGGTAATGAAAGACATTTATATAATTTAGAGGCATTAATCCTTAAACCATATTAGAAGGGTAACCTAAGAACGTTCAAACAAGGTAGCTATAGTAATTGGGTCAAATCCTCACAAAATGATTAACATTTGATTTTTTCTCCCCAGATAAAATTCAAATACTTTAATAAAATTGATTCCCTTTGTCGCGTATACCTAACCAAGTACTAGACAGTAGTTGGCAATATATAATGGAGTTCAAACTTAAAAGAGGACAACCCTAACAAAGAGTATCAAAAAGATGGCTAGAACTTCTAACTTATTTGTATATGTAGTCTTCACAATATTCACAAGTTTGATCCTTGAAGATTGTGTAAAGTGTAAGCTCTAAATTTGCTTACATATCATGATTTATATGTGTCGGCATCTCTAATGACTTGTGTGTGTGTATGATATATAAACATGGATGTTTGGTACGAGAATTCGTGTCATGGTTCGAATTGATTCGTGGTTCGCTACAATATTTTCTCTCATAAAAAATACACATAAATCGAAAATAATTTTGAATCATAGTTTTAAATCCGTGAACCAGACGTTCACATCTCGACGCGCGGAAGATGTATATTGTTGCTCAATTGTGACAACTCCTGCAAAATGAAAAATAATGCAGATGAAGGATTATGCTATCGTGGAAAATGCATTTGTCACCGCTGCAAAGAATTTCTTAATGGTATTTAATTATTATAATACTTTGATGATTAATTTGCATATACACCTTATTCTTTATGATTAATTTTTGAGCTAGAAATCGGAAAATTCGAACTCTAGACCAAGCATAAAAATTCCTACATTATTCTAATTTATTACATGACATGATAAGATGTGTGTATTTATACGTATATATTGTTCATGATGCAAGTTGATTGTTAGTTTACCAATCCATCCCAAAAGCTTAAGTTATTAAGAGGTGGGTCAACAATAGTTTTACACTTTAAAACTCCCCCTCATGTGTGGGCTGGATAATGGTCCAACACGTGAATATTTAAGCCCGAGATATATTAAAGGCCCAACACATGATGACAATTTAAATGAGGATAAAGAGTGTAATTACGGGGGCTTGAACTCAAGACATCCCTATCTGATACCATATTAAGGTTTTGGGATGGATTGGTAAACTAACATTGATGTTCTTTGAATTATATATATGTATGTATATATATATATATTATACTGTAGGATAAATATTGGGGGGTTGTGAGTTTTATAGCACAACATGGCATGGAAGATGCAGATTGAGTTCTGGTTGTGCAAGCAAGTGCGTTACAAGAGAAGAGGCGTGGGGAGGAGAATGTCAAGACGGTCACTGTGTTTGCTTTAGAAAGCACTATATTTAATAATTTAATTAACATTGTGAAAAAATATATATAAAAGATATTTAAAAAGTGTTAAAAAAATATGATACATAATAAAAAAAATGTATAAAAAAAGTATTTAAACAGTTCAAAAAACCCAAAATACAAATTAGAAAGACAAAACAATTAGATAGTAAGCGAATAAATAAAGTTAAAAAAACTCAAAATACAAATCAGTTAGATAGTAATAAGTTGTGTGGTTAAAAAAAATAAAAGTTATTATACAAATGACAATGAATTCAAAATCAGAAATTGCTGAATGACTTACACCCCGTTCATTTCACCGATTTGAGTTTAGAATTCGAGTTTTGTTACAGTAAAAAGCTCTCAGAAATAGTCACATCTAACTTTTTTATTACAGTAAAAAGCTCTCACATAAAATCATATCTTAACTCGAATTACAAACTCGAATTAGTGAAGTGAACGGGCCCTTAATAAAACACCACAAATATATAAAGAAGAGCCAAATCACTTATTCGAAGACATTTCATATATCATATGAATTATAAAGAAATACACTATAATCACCAATAAAGAATACCAACACAATTACAAACAATTTTATCCCAAAACAACAATTGTATGTGAAAGAATTGGTTCAGGTATTTTTTTTTCCTCGCTACTAAGATATATCAATAATAACTCAAATATGACCTAACAAAAATTTTGGCTGCCAACGGAATTATTAAAGAATTTGTACATAATATGACTAAATTGGAACATCAACCAATGGAAGAAAACAG